TAACATTTCTGAATCTTTTTCATTCTTTCAGCACAAATATGAAACTCTAATGAATGGCAAAATGCCAATTGAATCACATTTACATAAACACTTGGCAGAGCACCTAAACTCCGAAATTGCTTTGGATACCATCAATAATCTTGAGGTAGCCATGAATTGGATGCGTTCAACGTATTTTTATGTGCGGTCGATGCAAAATCCTACGTACTATGGTTTAGAGCAAAATATGGATAAGGATATAATTGAAAATAAATTGGAAAGTGAGTTTGAATAGTAATTGTATACTGTTTTCTACTTCCTTAATGTACATATATAGATTTTTTAAAATTTTGATTCCATTTGCAGAAATGTGCTTAGTGCAGATACAAGAACTTGAGAGCGCTGGTCTTATATCCAGAAATCCACAAAATGAATTAGATGTGCAAACAACCAGTTATGGCAAACTAATGGCCAAATATTATCTATGCTTCGAGACAATGAAACTTTTTCGACAGGTGTTTAAATCTATATTATTATATATATATGTATAATACGCGAAGGGATCTTTTGTCCAGGCTCGATTTTCAAAAAAAAGTGTCAAATTAAAGCACTTGGCTTGTAGGTGCGCATACTGGTTTTATTTTTTCGAACAGAGTTGCCACTTGTAGAACAATTGAATTCAAATTATTTAATAGGCAATGCCATGGTTACCGCACCGTTCCTTTGATTTTCCAAAATGGGGTTTCAAATTAAAAGGCTGCAGATATGCAAAAACGTTTTATTTTCTTGAAAAGAGATGCACCTTTTAAAAAATTACATTCAAATTACTTAGAAATAGTCAATTATTACAAAATGGGTAGCAATCAAAATGGTTTGGCAAATCCTTGTTTCTTAACTCAACTTAAGGAGGGTTGCCACCTGTTTAAAAAATCAATTTGAATTACAGGAATTAGGTAGGAGAAATCAACATGTGGGTGCCAAACGAAAGGGGGTTCAGAAGGTAGTAGTTTGAAAATATAAAAAATTTTAAAGAGGGTTGCCACCTGCTTGAAATGTCAAATTTAATTAACTTATCCACAAGTTATATGAAATGTCATTACGTATATGGATATCAAACAAAAGAGTGTTAAAGAAGTCTTTAGTTTGAACTGTAAAAAAAATATTTTTATTTCAGAACTATATTAACCGGGGTTGCCAAGTGTTTATAAATAAAATTCCACTTCATTCATCAGTTAATTAAAATATGTATCGCAGTGTTCGACAAAGAATATTTAAGAACTCCTTTTGATAAAAGTCTCCATCTGTTTAAAAATTCGAATTTAATTAACTTTCACGCATGTTATTTAAAATATAAAGCAAAAGGATGTTAAGAAAACATGAGTCTCAACATTTAGAATGTTTGAAGAGGGTTGCCACGTGTTTATAAAGTGGCATTCAAATTATTTTATAAGTTGGATGAATTATTAAAGGAAGGGTATCATCGAAATGATTTTGAAAAGGCATTATTTCTGAAATATATATATCTTTAGGAGGATTGCCAATTGTTTAAAAAATTCAACTCAACTTAAGTTAAGGCAATTACCTAATTCAAATATGTATTAAAATTTGGGCGTATATATTGGCGTCAAACGAAAGAGTGTTAAGAAATCTTTAGTTTGAATACTAGGAATATTTTTTAGGTGTTTGCAGAGGGTCGCCACCTGTTCAAAAATTCAAATTATTTAAAAAGTTAAATGAACTATTAAAATATGGGTGTCAATCGTAATGGGATTGAAAAAGTTTTATTTCTGAAATATACGTACTTAGTAGGGTTGCCACGTATTTTATAAGCTGATTTTCAAATTATTTAATAAGTTAAATGATTTTTGAGGGGTCTGAAAAGGCTTTCAGATAGCTTCTGCAATTCACTTCCGAGTGAATTTAAACCAAATTCGCTTCGAACTCAATTTAAGCTTTGAAGAAGTTCACTCGGAAATGAATTTTATAAACTGCCTGTTTATTTCTGAAATATGAGGGGTCAAAATAAAGCCCTTGGTGTGTAGATGTGCGATAAGATTTTATATTTTGAAGTTAGATTAAGCGAAACGGCTGCACGGATTTAGAATATACATATATGACACTCGCATTGCTAAGACCCTCACTAGCATTTGGAATAGTTTGTAGGTTTTTGAAATTCTATCTTTGGCGTTTTAACGACACGCGATTTCACTACATAGTACATATTATTTAAATATTTTAATATGTTTTAGAATACATTGATAGTATTTTTGTTGCAGATTCGTGGTGATGAAACATTCTTAAAAATTCTTGAGCTGATTGTACGTTGCAGAGAATTCAATGAATTCGCTGTCAGAGTAAATGAGAAGCGAATTTTGAATGCGTTAAATAATACACCATTGCGATTTCCGCGTGCCGGTCGCATCAAAACGCGTGAGGATAAAATTTCATGGTAATTTTAATTACTAAGTTGTTTTTAGAAAATGGGAAATTCCTAAGTAAATTATAAAAAAATGCATTACTTTGTTTACGCTATGTATTCTTTTCTCGCGGAAGTTAAACGTTTGAAAAGTTGCAAAGTGTTGTAATGAAATGCCCATTATTATACATTTAATCTCTTAATAGTGATTAATTCATTGAATTTAATTTAATGTGTGATAATTTATATAGTGTTTTTTGCTTTTTTGCAGTTTGTTGCAAGCGGTATTTGGGAATACACCGATCGCCTCCCCCACTTTGGCGCTGGAATCGCTGAAAATGATACGCATCGGTGATCGTATTGCAAAATGTTAGTTTCTTTTGTTTGTTTAAATAGATACGTACGAAGTTATTTCTAACACATCTCTTTGACTATTGAAATTCTTGACAATGTTAACATTACACCCTTATTAAGCATGCGCATTCTTTTTCTGCCATTCTCCCACTCTCTTCGCCCCGCAGGTCTGTTGGAGTATATGCGATTGTCAGAGCATCAAGCGCATGCATTACATTTGGGCCGCTACAAGGCGTTATTGCATACCGTGACAATCGCGAAATGCTTCCATGCCAAAATGTGGGAAAATTCAGAGTATGCAGCGAAACAATTGCAGAAAATCGGTGCCGTTTACTCAGCTCAACTGGTGTACGCTGGGAAAACTACACTGAAATCACTGAGGGCGACAGAGGCGCGCACCATTGAAGCGGTAGGTAGGAGCGAGGGAAGATTATTGCTCTGTTTGCTTGTTAGCTCATAGATATTTACGGTATTTTTAAATATACACATATGTAATCCGATACATATAGCTTTTGCTATTAAGCGCTTATATATTTGTATGCAAGTTAATATGTATTCAGTAGCAACATGGGTAGGTCACTCAAACAGTAGCTACCCAACCCCCCTCTCCTTCTCCTAATCCTCTACTTTTGGTGGCACAATTATTTCGCTCAACGAATGCAATTGCGCTGGCAATGTATTATATTTTGTACTTTCGTCATGTCATTTTAACGGTTTTTGAAGCTTATTTTCCATGTATTGTTTGTTTAAGTATTTAAAACGCTTATCTTATTTTACTGATTTCATTGACAGATACTAAACAAATCGTATCCCTTTGGCGATGAGATATTGCAAAATCTACAACAGACTTTCCCTGAATATACGTTGCAATTGGAGCGCGATTCGCAATGTATGTTGTGTCTCTGTGTGCGACAAGTTAACGAAGCTTTTGTTTGTCGTGGCACAAATGCGATGCTGATTGTGGGTGACTCGGAAAATGAGCTTTTGCTTTTCATCGAAGATCTGTAATAAGAAACTTTAAATATTTTTATTCAATTAGTTATAATTAGTTCCTATTTTTATTTATAGTGATTCGCTGCTTTTGGAATGTGGGTGTTTCATGAAATCCATTAAACTGACAAATCCCCATGTCGAGAAGATATATGCCCACGTCATTCATGCAACATTAGGTAAGTTTTTAAACAAAATTAAAGAAGCTCGGTAAAATTTTGTATGACGATGGTTTACTTTAAGTTTTTTTGCCGGACAAATGAAAAAGTTCCATTTGGTGGTGTAACTCTAGTTGGTTAGGTCGATAGATATAACGGAATAAGAAAATATTCGTATTTACTTACTTGCTCTAGGAATTTCAAAAGGACGATTTTTTAGCATTATTTTGGAAAAAAGGAACAAAATCAAATATGTTGACAACGAAAAAGAGATCAAAATAAATGTAACGGTATTTCAAAGCATTTAAATTGGATAATTCAGAATTTTTTTTTGTCCTGAATCCAGTACATACTTAAAAAAAAAAATCACACATACTTTAGTTTTTTTTTCGTCAAGGAATCCATTGTCATGGTCGCAAGAACCGAAAACGCATTTTTTTTGTATCTAAAAATTTAATTTTAAAGATCTGGGACCGAATCGAACGTAACTCGAGTCGAAATTTTATTTTGAGATCGCGGCATTCTAATGCGAGTGTGCTTCGCCCGTTTAAATTGTATTGTGGAAAAAAAGCTGTCATTTTGTTTCATTCGATTCGAAAAGAGTAATCACTCGATCACGAATGCCGCAATTCGGGTTCAGATCTTTAAAATTAATTTTTAGATGTATACAAAAATTAAAAATGCTGTTTTCGGTTCTTATGACCATGGAAATGGATTCCTTGTGTTAAAATTGTTCGTAAAAGTTCATCACATATTGGTTTCAGGTCAAAAAAATAAAAACATTGAAAACCTCTTTTATCAAATGACACTATTTTTGATCTGATTTTGATTTGGTCTATTTTCCCCAAAATAAAGCACAATTTGTTCTATGTGAGGTTAATAGACTTGTCGTATCTTGTCCCATAGTATCCTCAAAATGGTTCCAGTGCTATTCTCTACTTGTTCTCTGTTCTCTACTAAGCTCTTCGTTAATGGTGTACAGTTCTATTCCATGCCTCTTTTGGCTTGAAACTCAGGGAAGTTAGACCCTATTGTTTGCCGCTAAAGTATTCAATCTCTACGCGGCCGAGAATCAATACAGACTTGCTTTCATGGAAAAGAAAGGCACATGTGTGGCCTCACTGTCGCTTAATATAAGGATTTTTCATACGGATACTTTCGTTGAAGATTGATTCCTTGAGATACATACATATACTTAGGAGTTTACCCATTGATCTTGGCCCAAAGATGCCAGCTACAATGCAGCTGGGAGTATTTCTTGGAATTTGTGTAGTTCCAGCTTGCTTTATTCCTTTGTTCTATTTTGAAATTTCTTTCCAAGCTGGTAATTCTGCGAAAATCGGGTCAGGGGTAGCTAAGCCCTGAAATATTCTATATTCCACTCTCTTTTTTCCATAACTCTCTTTGGTGTTTTCAAACACAGGCCACCAATGCCATTGCTGCACGCAAATATCGTATCTAAACCAGTTTACATCGCCGAAGCATTACAATCCTTGAGGATACAGGTAAGAATCCACAGTTTCTACTTTGAACTGATGATTAATCTACTCTTCTTTTGTACGTTTCTGGTAGGCGTTTCGTAGGCCGTGGCTCCTTTTTATTGATCCAATGCTTATCTTCATTTCTTAAGCTTTTTTCAGAACTCTTTTTTGATAGTTTGTTGGCCCTACTTTCAAAAAGGACTGGGCCGCAATTTCTTTGCCTTTACTACGTGTGTCCCAGTTTTATCATTGTCTTTCTATGCTCTTGCGTCCTGGTAAGCAGCGTAAACACACTCCAGGGATAAGGATGAACGAGCATTAACTTCTGCTTGAAGTTACCTAGGTTCACAAGTCTCTGATTAGTATAATTCTGCATATAGAGTATGCCGTGTATTTCCGTCAGAAAAATGCTCGGACATTTTGCCTTCGGCACTGTTAAATATCTGAATTCTCCGACCAAACTCACCTATTGCAATGCTTTCTGGCTTAACTGGTTATGTCCAGCCATATATCAACCATTTGTCAGATACATATCTAGTGGAATTTGAAACAATACTACGCCTTGTTCAGTATTAGAGAACTTGCTTCGGCATATCGAAAGAACGAACTTTGTGACAGTACATATCCTTCCTCTTTTTTATAACTCCGTTCCATTTTGATTTCTTCAAAATAAAATAAAATACATATGTCACACTCTCTCTCTCATTCCAGTTGGCGTTGATGTACATGAAACGCTAGTGTTAAATGAGCCCATCAAGGAGGACTCCATAATCCCACCAAAAACGAAAAAAGGTAAAAAAAGGAAGCAGCAATCAGAATCGGGATTGGTTACAAAACGTAATAGGAAAACAAAGCCGAACTTATCCCTTTCTGACATTTGTGACGTTACAGTTGACTCAACAGTTACCAGTAAGAGCAGAAGCTTCATGAATTTAGAAAGCTTTACCTTTGCCAAACCAAAAATTTCAAATAATACGATTTATACAATGGCTAGTGTAGCTAATGATAGCAATTTCGAGTTAAAGAATAACGAAAAAGAAGAAGAAGCATTGTTGTTCAATGATTCCGCAAACAAATCGGACAAAAATGCAACATTGGTACAGACTAAACTAACACAATTTTTTACGCAAAGGAAGTACACTACAACCGAATCATATAAAACGGCTACTAGTGTGGTACTATCAAAAGAACGAAATATAGAATTTGTTAGATTAAAGGAGAGCCAAAGTAAATCAAATAATGATTTAAAAGTGGCATTACCCACGCTTAGAGCAACCACACCGGATTTACATGATATTTCTGCATTTCTAGAAACACAAAAGTCAACGGGACTACGCGAAAGAGCGCATAGTGTTGACACTATTGAACACAATGAAATTTCAACTTTATTGAACCTACCAGCAATGGAACGTGACTCTTCAAAAGGCACTCAAATTTCTAAATTCCCTGAGATGCAACAACCAAGAGGGTCTTATGAAAATATCAAAATTTTAATCCCACAAACATCTGAGTGCGAAATTCCATATGATATGCAAATTAGCACTTTTCTGGAGATCCCAGAGACACATGCTTCTTATGAACCTGCACAAAAAAATAATAAAAGTATTATTGCAAATGATGCTGCAATATCAAAAACGCAAACGTTGTATCGTGAGACTTCAAATGTAGATAACGGTGGCGTTTCGATCCACATTGATGAACCTTTAAATTTGACTACAAGAGTCGACTTGCCACATGATAAAATTGAAGAAAATCAAAAACATATAAAATCTGACAGGCCACAGGCTGTTCATCGAAACTTAAACAAATTTAATTTTCTTGGAGGGAATCCGGCAAATTCACCAGCTTCAGCATCTAAACAAAATTATGAAATATGCGGTTTGGACTTGTCGCGCAAAGCGACCGACAGCTTGAATATGTCATGGTGCGACGCCAGCACAAAAGATGAAGATATGTCTCTGACGAGCATCACTTTGACCGGAAAAAGCTCTGAATCATTGAAAAATACACCGAAAAGCGTCGAAAATTACTTACTATGCTATAAAGTAGCTTTGGCTTTTGCGCGTTTACAGCCTGAAAAACGTACAATTATTAACTTTAAAAATATTTATAAGCGCATGTGGCACACAAATGCTGCAATCGACTATATAACGGCAAAATTAAGTAATAGCAGAATTAGCCGAGGAGAAGAGAAGAAGTCAGTACCAGGGTGTAGCTCAACACCGAGACGCGAAGCCAAAGATGTATTTATGAATATGAATAAGAACGGGGAATGCGCATTAAATTTGGTTAAAAAGGCAGTAGACGATAAAAATATTAAATATAAAGCTAAGGCGAATTCAACGGCTTCCAAGGCATCGCACCACATGCAGGAAAAATGTGAGCATAAGTCTCAAGAGCGAGTTCATACAAAAAAAGTGAGTCAATCTACAAAACCCGACCAGACAGCTACACTGCGAAACCCATTTCGCCTACAAATATTGAACGATACCAATGGTAACCCCAAAACAACTAAACAAATTAATGGCGAAGTAATGAACCTAGTGCTCGACATGAAATGCAAAGCTGCTGGCTACGCCGAAAATACTCATCCTACGGAATGTGTCGACTATGAGGACATTGAGCGCGATCTTGAACTTAGTGAAACTCAGAGTTTGCATAACATGTCTTTCGAAGATTTTTGCAATTTTGTACTTAAAACATCAATTAAACGGTAAGAAGTTAACTATTTTTATGTGCTTTATACTTACTTTTGTTACTGCCTCACTTACATAAATTGATTAACATTTGAATTTAATTTGAGTCTCACTTTTTTTATTTTATTAAGTACTATCTTATACCCGCGGGTTTTAACCCAGGTTTTTATACAAATATGAAAAATAATTTAATGATGTTATATTTTATTTCTGTGCCCATTTTGTTATAGCTCTACATTTTTTTAAGAAAGTTCAGGTATCAGAAAGAAAGGTATCAGTCCCTCTAAGTTTACCTTAAAATAGTTTCACGGATACGCCGCGTGAAAGTGTAACATTCTGGGAGGTACCACGGCGGGTCCTAATGTTTCCAACTAAAGTTTAGTATCCTGGCCATGATAAAATACCCATTCTCATGAGAGCTTTAGATTATAAGGCCGAACCCGACTCGCTCTCCTTTTGCATTAAATGCAATTTTTTTCTGTCAGTACCGCACTTATAAAATAAATCTCCATAACAAATTTAAAATACTTCCAGAGATTTTCTACCCTTCCACATATATGTATTAAGAAAGTTTTAGTATGTATGGGAGGCCAAATGCCTCCTTTTGCAATAACTTACATTTTTTCCATGAGCAATACCAAGTTCCAGTATTCTTCCACAAATACTTCCAGGAATATGTGGCAAGAAAAAGTCAGTTTGTGCCACGCTCCTTTTTCTTATAACCCTGATTTTCATCCATGAGTTTGAAATTGATTTTATATACCCCAGTGCCAAGTCCCAGTACTCTACCATGAACACCTCTAGAGATATGCAATACAAAATAGTAAATTTGTACGGGAGGTACCTTGTCAAATTTTTTTCCATATGTATGAAATAAGTTTTGTATATACATACATCTCGGTGCCAAGTTCCAGTCCTCTGCAATAAACACCTCCAGGGATATGGGAAAATGCTGGTAATTCTGTCAAATAAATCGAATACACCACTTTTTATTTCATAGCTGTATTTTATAAAATGGCGATTTGCTAAATTACTTCCAAAACTTGATATTTCTTCGTTACGATATTTTTCATAATGTAAAAATGCAGATGTGCTTTACGTTTTGTTTACTCAACTTTCAATTTATTTGGACAGCACAGAAGATCTAATGGTTTAATGATTCTTTTATTTTGCCAACAAAGATTCTTTGGGTAAAATTTGGCAACTTCTGACAAAGAAAGAACCTCATATCTATACTATGATACCCCTCATTTCTGTCGATGCCATGTCATGCCAGTAAAATTGAAAAACAAAAAATTTGGGTTTGGAAAGCCCTTTATGACGAATTTTCATATGGCATTGAAATTACAAACAAGTAAGCAAAAAACAAAGCCGACTTCAATTCTCATCTAAACTGAATTAGTATGGGACCAACTCTGTGGTAGCACCTTTCATTTAAAAAAGAATTATGTAAATCGGTTAACGTGGTCTAAAGTTATGCGGTAACATACATCAAAAAAAATATTTTCCGACGAATTGATAACCTCCTTCTTTTTTTGAAATCGGTTAAAAAAATACCATTTGAATCTGCTATTTGGAAACGAACTTAATTAAAGTTTACGTAATGACATTTGTATGTTTTAAGTCCAACTTTGAAATACAAAGTTTTGTGATTTGATTCCCAGTTGAATACACACATTAGGCTTGCTTTCACTATGAAAAATTCAATGTTATATCAAATGAGAATCATAACCATGGCACGGTTATTTTTTAAAATCCATTTTTAAAAATTTTGCAGGAGAGGAAAAAACTTCTTATAGCCATTTTCTTCAGGTATTTTTGAAGACTTTCAATTCAACATTTTGCATGTTTAAAGCAAAGCAAAACTCCATAGGAATCAGAAGCGTTCGAATTAATTAAAAAATTTCCTATTATAATAATAATAATAATAATAATAATAATAATAATAATAATAATAATAATAATAATAATAATAATAGATTGGCGTTTATTTATTTTTATTTTTTGTTCGCATCAGAAAATCAAAAATACTTTGCTTTCAGCTCCAGAATGCTTCTGGTATAGCTTGCTGTACTTTCCTATAGCTACATTAATTTGAAAGCTCGGAACGGCTCCGCCCAGCTCGACCGACCCCGCTTCCTGTGTGAACGCATCCTTAGTGTTTGGCCGAGCTTCTGTTGATTGTATTTTTATGAGAAGCAGTTTTTCATGGAGGTTTGCCATTGCCTGCTTAGGGGCGACCTCTATTAGAAAAAACTTATCGAATTTCCTTTGCCTCTTTTGGACTTAGCAAATTTTGTGTTTCATTAAATGTACATAATACTTTTGGAAGCGATGCATTTTTATTTTCTCTTGACGCTTATGTCAAAATATGAGTTATAACAAAAACTGGACTGGAAAATTGTCATCTTTAAGCTGGCGATATGTTTTCTCATGTTTCAGACAGGAAAATGCAGTCTTATGCGAACATATACAAAATATTCAAAGACACCTTCGACAATTTTTATTAATAACAAAGTAACTAAAACTATTCGACATCAGTTTCTATGAAGTTGCTCTAGTTTTTACTTACACTACCGGAAAAAAGTATTGGCACAACAAATTTTTCACAATATATGCAACAATTTTTGTTCTAATATTTTTCCGCGAATTTTTTATTAAAATATGGTTCATTCTACAACAAACTCATAAAAATATTGTGGAAAACTTACGAAAATTCAGCAAACTTTCATGAAAATTTTCAACTTTTTAATCAAATTATTTAGAATTTTTGTTGAGTATGCAGATATGTATCCCAATCAATTTTATTATAATGAAGTACAAGTTTTAAGTAGCTAGGAATTACCGTTGATTTTTGGCAATTTTTTTTCACGCAGTATCTTCCATACAAAAAAAACAATTCGAAAATACTTTATATGGAAAAAGAGCAAAACACCTTCAACAAAAAAAAATTTCAAAAATCAATGCGATTTTCGACTAACTCCAAACTTGTATTTTTTTTTACTAGAATTTAATGGGCTGCAAAACTGCATAGTCAAAATCTGGTTAGAAAGTTTAAAATTTGCATGCAAATTTGTTGAATTTTCGCGAGTTTTGCACAAAGTTTTGGAATTATATTTTTATGTTTTTTGTGGTAGAATGAACCATATTTGTAAAGAAGAAATGCCGGAAAAATATTAGAATAAAAATTGTTACATGTATTGTGAAAAATTTGCTGTGCCAATACTTTTTGCCGACAGTGTATGTACATACAGTTTTTTAGGGCTTTTGCATACGCATTTAGATTTGTACAAAAACACATTCTCTCAACTTGCACATGTATATATTTATATACATGTGTACACACATACAATTGTTTTGAAAAATTCCCAACACTCATATTCAGCTGCTCATTCACTTTTGTCACCGGCATGCGCCAAATCCGCTGCCACTTTATTCACCACCCCACTCACATTACTATTCTGATCTTTTGTCGTCGTCGCCGCATGCAAATTTGGCGTGGAGAAAAGTGAGACACGCGCTTTACGCAAATGCGGCAGACTGCCAAAGAAACTCGGCCGCGTTGTTGTTGTTTTGTTGCTAATATCATCGGTTGTGCTGCTGCTGTTGCTGCAAGTGGCGCCATTGAAATGTTTTGGCCTAATTTTCACTGATTTCCAACGATACTTTGATTTCTTCGCTCCACTACCGCCCACACCGCCACTAGCGCTGGCACCACAGCTACTGCCAGTGTTGATGCCGTTAGTAGCTCCATCATTAAAGTGACCATTAGGTGTAATTTGTTGCTGCATTGGCTGTCTGCTGCTGAAAGTTGTCTTTGGTTCGTGGGTGCGCGCACACATTTTACGCACGCGCACTTGCATTGATTTTCGATGTGCGCCAAATTTGTGTTTAATGTTGGCGAATTGTGATGTCGGTGTTGATGCTGTGCACGCTGTTGAAGGCTGTTGATGATGATGTTTCTTTGTTAGTGTCGTTGTTTTCCTATCATTTGGTGTAAGCGTGGGTGATATTGCGTGCGTAGGTAAATCAATGGTATCATAGTCGACATGATGATTGTTGCGGCGCATGCGCCTAAATTGTAGCAGTGAATTAACTTTCAAACGTGTAATGTATCGCCAAAGAGCACTGGGTTGCGTCGCGGAGTCATTGATCTGAAAACAAAAGAAAGTTTATACGTTAGTTTTTCAAGGACTAATTTGTTTAAGCTTAAGTATTTGTCATATGGAGGTTCTTATATGTAGGTACGTATGCATGTATTTCTATGGCGTCTTCAAACGACAGATATGTAGTCTTATTTTGGAGACATTACGAATTTGATTCAAAAAATTTTTTTGTTTAAGGTACAGAATATAAAGAAAGCGGCAATTCGACCATGCACTTCAAATGTTAGCCATCACACTTCACTGCACATTCGCATTTTATAAGGTGTTCAAAAACATTCGGCCTTAGGCATAAAAAGTGAGCTTAAGCTCAGACTAAATTTTTGCATATGGTGTTCGCATGGGGCGATTTTATAGGAAACTTTTAGTTTAAAGCAAAAATCGCCTGGTTTCAACGGCCTTTCAACTAATCGCTTCCAGTGAAGTTGGGGTGCAGCCAACTTTTGATTCAACTAATCGCCTCTAAAATTACCCGGAAAATCGCCTCATGTGAACACCGTATAAGGCCCATTGTCTTAGCTGAAGTTATGTTAAAGCTATGAGCGTTACAGTAAAACACATGAGTAAGAAGTTTAAATTCTTCAGAATTTTCTCTTTAATGTGATACCTATACTTTTTCTCTAAGCACATTTCACTAAATTTTTTAAATCATTTTTAAATTACTGGCGACAGAGTGAAAAACTAAAAACGCAATTTTACTATATTTGGCCTATGGTTTCGCGAATATATTTATTTTTGTGAGTAATATTTACTATCACACGGTTTTATATGTATAATAAGTGAGACACTTATAAAAAAGTATTATTTATTAAATAAAAAAAGAAATATAGCCAATACTGGTCAAGAAAAGGAGTTGCTATTACTGCAATCAGTGCAAATTACAAATCCCGAAAACCCCGAGATTATTTGCCGGGATCGCGGAATCCCGGGATAAACATTCCTAGAATGTATGTATGTAGATCGGTTTGTTCTGAAAAACCACATTTTTTTTTTTTAAATAATAAAATGAATCTTTTCACATAGGTGAAGTTCATTCATAACTAAGTAGACTTTGTTTAGCCTAAAAAATGCATACATATAAGATTGATTTAGAAAAACTCACCTTCGGATTCGCGAAGTTTTCGAAACCCACAGGTTCGTATATGTTTTCATCATCTTCACCATCAGGCATGTCACCATTTTTACAACATTCAGCAAATTTATCACCATCCTCATAGATGCCGTCAATATCGTCCTCGACATGTAATTTACTAGTGGATTTCTAAAAAGAATAAATAACGAAAACAGATAAATATTTATGTACGTGCATACATACATCAGCTACACTTAACGACTCACTAACCTCTATCGATCCGCCTCTGATTGGCGCCACAATACTAGGTTCCACACCTTGAAGAATGCTTTCGTAACTTCTACAAAAATTCGTATCTAAATTTTTCAGATTATTTTTGCCATAACGTTGCTGTCGTTGGGCATATTTATGCGCTAAATCGACCACAGCATAAATTGGCTCTGAAGATCTGTTCAATGTTGTCTCCACATCTTTGCCCAGCGCAAGTGGTCGCACCTCGACATCATTTTCACCATTACTGTCTAACACTGTTCCGCTGCACTCTTCACCGCCTACTGCCTTTGACATACTGGCTCCTTCAATAATCGACTCCTCCTCCAACCGTTTCTTTATGACAACTCGCTTGCGCTCACGCCTATCGACTGTGTCTGCATTCGTATACGACATCATTTCCTTCCGGCCTTTGATGTTCATTCGCTGAATTTGGTCTTTCACCATTACCATTGCTTTGCTGTAAGTAAAGGATTTTTTTTTTTTTTTTGTAAGTTGAAACTCGAAAAAAACAAACGCTACACAAACACCTCAGTGCATATGCAAGTATGTAAGTGCATAAAGGAGTACGCTGTAGACCGATGAACTGCAGAGGCATCTGCAAGGCATCTGTTTTCTGATTGTGAGCGCACATGCTCCTATTCCTAAATAATTCAACTAAATACACTTGAATATTGGTTTGATTTCTTACTTTTCCAGTGATTTCAAGTGCCTTCGCTGTATGGTGCAAACGCTTACAAGGTAGTCGTTCTGTACTACCTTATATGTAGCCATTTGTGCGTTAAACAGTTCTACTTAGACATATAATTACAAATCATTTGAAATTTCTTGTATGGAGGCAATGCGCTGCTGCTGCAAAATGCAGTGAATCAATGGCTCGAAACAATACATACATACATACATACATATGTATGTGTGTCTGTATAAATATATATACAGTGATCCAAATATAAATTGGTACGCCGGATTTCGCCAAGTTTTGGCTATTCTTTTTTTTTAATTCATTTAATGTTAAATATTTGTTTATGAAGGTATAGCTGATTACTTAACAAAAGCCATATAAATCCAAATTTTGGACTTTGTGCAAAAATTATGAAAGTTCTGCAAAATTGCACCGAAACTTCTAACTTCATAACCTGCATCTTTAGAAAAAAAAATTTGGTACGCAGTTTTGTAGCCCATTAAATTTTAGTACACTAAAGTGCAAATTTGAATTACCAAAATTTTATCTAAAGATGCTGATTAAAAAGTTATAAATTTTGTTGCATTTTTGCAGAAATTTCATAATTTTTACACAAAGTCTGAAATTTGGTATATATTGTTTATTAAAAAATCAGCTACACTTTCAAAAAAAAAAAAAAAATAAACTAAAGAAAAATAGTCAAAACTTGCAAAAATATCGCGTCCCAGTTTGTATTTGGTTCACTGTACGTATTTATGTATGTAAATATATACGTTTTCCTGCGTGACATTCGAGTTTGTATTCTATGCTTGTCGTTGCTTCTAATAGCTGGATGCTGATTGTTACTTGCCGACACTCAATGGTACCTTCTATGTTGCTGTTTACGTTGCCTTTAGAGTGGAGTCAAAAATAGCACACCATAATACGGAAACAGACGAATATGCAGGCACACAAATATAAAATACATATGTATGTATGAGTGTATGAACACAATGCACCTCGCCGCACATGAATTACTTTAGACTAGCTGATGGCTTTGCATCCACAATTGAACTTCATTCACAGCCGAAGCCAGCACATTGACGTATCGGCAGAATCCAGATGCCTTTGAGGTTTTTATAGACACGAGGTTTTATTATCTATGGCATTGATGAAAGTGCCCTACACTAGGCGCAAGTATTTAGAAACATATGTATGTTCATATACATATCTAAAACAATATATTTGGGACCAGTTTAGTACATGATTTACTGAATAGCTAATTTAAGAAAAAAACAGCTATACGACTATACTCTTTTTCCTGTCGAGCCTGCGACCAAACTTCCTCGTGCCGACTTGGTAATATGTATTTATCTTAGGCGAATTTCTGCCAATGATAAGTGGGCTATTGGAGTGAGCACTTGTTATTGTTTAAGTTGGAGTTAGCTCCTCCAAAAAAGAGCGGATCCCTACTTCGATGCAAAGCTATAGACGGATTGAACAACAAGAAAATAATTGGGGAAATGCAAAGGCTCGTATGCCTCGGTATATGGGGATATTTCGCCTTCAACCACTATTTTCGTGCATGGGGTATTCACAAAGGGCACCATCGAAAATTACTAAAGGTAAATCGAATGATGTCAAAAGGACGGAGAAGTCAACGCTTTGGGGAAGACTCGTGAATTGAAGGCTTAAAAATATAATTATGATGTTATACATCTGAAACTATGAGTCAAAAGAGATGCTAGTGAATAGCAGTTTAATAATTTATCAGCTAGATTGTCCACTTTCTATAATTGGTTTGAATTTTGTACAGAATTACACTAATAAGAAAATAATCGTCTATTACAAAACGCATGTTTTAATGCACAATTTCTAATCGACCTCAGAAACGGAGGAGGAGATCAATTCGTCGGAATATGTTTTTATTTATTTTAATTTTTTATGTATGTTAACGCACAACTTTGGACCACGAAATTAACGGTAGCCTTAAATTTTTATATGAGAATTGAAGTTGGTTTTGTTTTTTGCTTAAAAATTATGTGTATTAACACAAAATAATCATCTTTATAAACCTTTGTATTTTTGAGTGTTATTATAATATGTACAGACACACAAGCATAAAAAAAGCAGACTTGGAAGTCAGCACTGGCCTGCATTACGGCGATTTGGGACTTCAATACAAGGATGCCCACATACGGTTTCCGAACAGGAAAAAATGGAACAAAGGGTTCTCTGTGAATAGGGATATAGAATTTTCACTGTCACTATCTGGTTAGCAGTAAGGGAACGAAAATTTCTCTATCACTGACTAATTACACTAGTATTCAACTTAAGGAAAATTTACGATCTGCGATTTTAACACCCATTTCCTTACAACAGGCTTGCTCAAAAATTGATAACCACTAACCATATAGTGGTAGTGAAATGCATTTCCACTAAGTGCATAGTGGTAGTGAAACCAATTTGTCATTATCCTATGCACTTAATGTTAATGCATTTAAAACTTCACTACCTCTACTCGAGTAGTGGTAATGAAATGCTCAGCACATTCAAAATTCAGTGCAACGTGCCCAAACCTGATCCACCTACACTGATGGTTCAAATATTGAACAAGGAACCGATGCCGATCTCTTCTCAAAGTGCAGTGTCTTCCAAGCTGAGATTTATACTAAACCACTTAGCCTCTTCTCTATAAATCTGATCATCATCTTTATTCAACCAGATTTAAACTTTAATTAGTGAACCATTTAATTTTTAGACGCGGTATGTAGCGCCACTTAAAGCTTTTATTTCACATCAAAAACATCGCTCCAAGCTCTCTTTTTGTTTAATTTTTGTACTATCTGTGGTCACAAGCCATAACAGCTTAAATCGAGAGGTTGCTTTTAGTATAATGTTCCACTTCCAGCCTGATATTGCAAATGGCGTACTTGCCATAGAAAAACTATTGGCAAACTAACCCGAAAGAAAAATTGTTGGTGCCCACATCTTACTGTCAATATACCTATCAAGTCTCATGAAAAATTCGTTGTGGTTTAAAAAATAAAAGCAATGATGCATTATACCATAATCAACCTCTTGACTTACGCAGTTATGGCTTGTGACCACGGATATATGTACAGTAACGAACAGAAGTATAGGCACAGTGAATTTTTCGTAAGAAATGCAACGTTTTTTAATCTAATTTATTTTCGATTTTGATTTTTTTGTAAATATAGGTCATACTACACCAAAAAAAAAAATAAAAATAAAATCTCTAAACTTAATGCAAAACTAAGGAAAATTCATGAATTTGTATACTAATTTGTAAGTTGCTAGGAAATAGCGTTGATTTGTATGGAAGAAGCTGCGTGAAAAAAATTTGCAAAAATCAACGAGATTTTTTAGCAACCTCAAACTTGCACTTTGTTATACTAAAATTAATGAAGCTATATAACTGGATACTTAGAATTTGTCTACAAAATCTGCATAGAAAATTGCAAATTAGTATGCAAATTTTTTGAAATTTCCAAAGATAAGAGATATTATTTTTATATTTTTTTGTGTAGAATGAAATACATGTTTATAAAGAATTATTGAAAATAAATTAGAATAAAAGACTTTGCATATATTGCGAGAAATTCACTGTGCCAATACTTTTGTTCGTCACTGTATATGCACACATGTAAAAGTTAGTGTCTCCGAAGCAGCTATTTATAGCTGAACTCTCATTTCCCCTGCATATTAAAAAAGTTTTTTTTTTCGCTACAAAAGTGTGGGCGTACTTGCTTACGATACACATACATATATATACCTATTATCAGTATGTTACAAACTCACATCGTCTCGACACATATCTATGGATATCCCAACAGGAACTTGACAATGGTGAAATCGATAAACAAATTGCATTAGTTTTAACTCCCCTTAACTCAGGTTTGAGCTCCTTACAAGTATTATAGAAAAAACCTATTAAACCGATTGCAATCCAAGCGAAATTTTGGATAAGATTTTTAGGGCCAGCCTTTTAGTGCTCGGCTTAGTTTAAACGCTCGAACAAGCAAAGATAAAAAATAAGAGGTGCAATCCCGTATTCCTCGGACTCGGACTAGTAAAACTTTCAAAAAATAAAAATTCGCTCAGAGCGAGAGAGTAACATTGAAAAGTACGGGATCGCTTTCTAATAAAAAATGGTAGCTTCTGTCAACTTCAACATAACCTCCAAATTTAGTTTGTAAATTTTTGCTTATTTTGTATGTTAACACACCCAGCCCACACATGTAAATAACCAAAAATACTTTCAAATTCATTAGAATCCACTTAAACAAGTAATTAAATACTTTTCAACATGAATTAGCAGAGCGCTCTTTTCTTTTGTTTACAATTTGGTTGCCAAACACACTACAGCTGATCGTTTGACACATTTACCAGAATTTACCAGCAAAAAAATTCTCGGACTAAAACTGGTAACTTCTGACAGAGAGAGAACCATATTTATTCTCTTTTTTGTCCTCTCAACAGTCAGAGAACCGAGTACGGGATCGATTTCCAGTAAAATCTGACTGATTCTGACTATTTCTGACTAGTCCGGACTCGTACGGGATCGCAACTAAGATTAGCCATTCAAATGTCAGTAAGCTATTAAAAATGAACGAACGTTGATTGGTCTATAGAGTTACTCGCGAATCATTATCATCAGATAAGATATAGTAAGTCTAGTAACTCAACGTAAAGTTGGAGACTGGCTCTGCCCTATTTTGAGAAGTTTCTTTACATATGTAAGTTTTCGAAAAGAATTATTCATCGCATAAGAAACCAGTTAGACCGAATTTGGTGTGGTGGATTGGATGAAGGTCATATGATAATCTCAGGATAAAGCTTTGATATTGCGAATTGAGTTCCGCAAGGTAAAAACAGTTTAATCAAAGAATCTATAAAAAACACAATTTGGTTCATATCTGACAATTTAGTTCCTAAATCCTTTCCTAAATTTAAAAAAAAAAAACTATGCTCAACAGCAAGTAAGGGGCGTTTACTAACCTATCTTGTATGTGTAAAACAGTATTTTTTCTTTTACGGCTCCCACATTGTTTGTTGTCAAGTGGAAATTCGCCATTAGATTCAGAATGGCTTTCGTCTCTATTCTCACTGGGTTTTTAAGAAAATACACAGAAATATCTATTAATACATACAATAAAATTGTGGCTTTATTGCTCACCTATCTTTGGCGCAGCAGGAATATGCTCCATCAACATTGTTGTCCACAACTTGAGCATCATCATTCACCGAACAACAATCCACAAACAATGTATTGTTGCGATCGTTTGTTTCAATATTTGAGTTGTTGTTATGGTTATGCTTTGGAATAAATTCGCTTTGATCACAGTTCGGTTGCTTAGGCTTTGGATGCAGTAGGAATTCTTTATTCACCACATTGTGGTGACCTGTGTTGACACATTGTTCTGACACCAAGGAAGAATTTGGTTGTTGTTGGAACATACTATTTATTTTTAAAACTGATTGATTGATAGGCCGATGCGAGGAGCTTGATGAGGAAGTTGATGTTGTGGTACTACCGGTACCCGAATGATGTAGACCGTTGTCGAGTGTGGTAAAATCACTCCAATGCCTTTCACCATGCAAACGGAAGTGGGTCGCACTAAAATGCCATTATGTAATGTTTTATTTATGTTCAGTAATATGAAAGGTATTTTTGAATTTCAAATTGCATTTGCGCCTGGTTTCTTTTATTCGTTCAAATTGCACCATTCACATGCGAAGTACATATGTACATACATACATACTTACCTCGCTTCAGTAGTTAAACGAGCATCTGCGACGTTGTCGTTGCTATTATTACCAAAGTTGTTGTGGTTATTTTTGTTGTTGCTTTTGCTACCTGTTGCGTTCACTGTTGTGCCACTACTCCTGTTGCAACAGTTCACTTGTTGCTGCTGTCGTTTTTGGTACTGGTGCTGTTGTTGTTGTTGTTGTTGCTGCTGGTATTTTTTCGTCGGACCGCTTGAATTCACGCCGTTACGCTCCAGTATTTTCGCAGTGCTGCGCGCGATTGGCAAACGCACCACCGCCGCACCACCACCACCCCCACCACTGCTGCCGTGAGTGGGCAGTGACAATGCTGGCGCTAACGGCGACCGCGCTGCTGATTTTATACCACCGACGGTTTTTATATTACCTATGCGCTCCAAATGCGCGTACTCAGTAGCGCCATCCATAAATTCGGCGCGCTGCCGCATTGAATCACAACTGGACGAGAGCTCACGCTGACGCTGTGAATTTTGTGCTGCGTTCGACCAAAGCGCATGCGGAATATTGTCGACGGAAATGTTGCGGAAACGTTGCTGTTGCAATGGCAGCAGAGAGTAGGCTGTTGGGGAAGAGGAGGTGGTAGTGGCGGAAATTACTTTAGTGCTTACTGTAGCGGATAAGCTATCCAACAGCATGGTAATCCATTCACGATAGGCGTTGCGATCATCACAATGCTGGGCAAACCAAAGAGGAAATGATGAAATGCAAAGTGAATAGGCAAAACTTGAAATAAACTTAATTAAAAATAGTTGTAAATTGCCTACTCATAAATAAACAAATTTGAATTAAAATAAAAAACTTAAATAATTTAAATTAAAATTAAGGGGCCAGCTAATTGAAATAAAATACATACATACAATTCAATTATAAACTTTAATCAATTTTCAAACATCAACTTGCTTATATGTATACTGGCCTACACCCGCTTCACTTAGTTTTCGTTTCATTTCGAAGCAAGATGAATTCTGAAAGGAAGGTTTCCGTAAAGAACAATATGCGAACAAAACACTTGGGAACGTTCTCAAGAAGAACAGAATGGGAACGAAACTTTCGGGAACATTAACAATGAGAACATAATAACAACGGAAGTATCGAGAACGTTTTCAAGTAGGATCATATAAAAACAAAAGTCGGGGGAAAGGTCTGTAAGGCAACAAGTTTCGAGAACTTAACGTTAATAATGAGGGGCATCTGCGTATTGCGATGAAAAATCGTTTCAGTGAGAGCCGCGATTGTTAATTCTATGCTAGACGAAAGCTGGGAATAAATCTACGAGAACGACATTTAGTTTCTACCGAACATTATGATCACGGTTCATACCAATTCCAATTTCCCCACTTGATGCATATTAATCTACGGTATGCCCAGAAAATCTATAAAATTTCAAAGAAATTTGAATTATTTTTTATTTAGTTTTATGGAAAGCGATTTTTCATGGCAGAAATACACTCGGAGGTTTGCCATTACTAGCAGAGGGGCGACCGCTATCTAAAAAGAAAACTTCTTGTTTGTGTCTACACCACAGCGGCTATTTCTACATCAAAAACTCCAAAAATTTGGGTTCCAAACTTTGCACTTATGTTAGTAGCGCTTTGGATTTTAGTAAAGCATGAGGAAGTTTAAATATGCAAGGACCGTTGATTTTTGACAATTTTTTTCTTGACGCTCATGCACATTTTCTCCTACATAAAAAAATATTTCAAGCATACGTTGTACGGGGGAAATTAGCAAGAAAAGAATTGTCAAAAATCGAATATTCAAAATTGCGCTGAAATTTTTTCTAAAAGGCTAATTAATGAGTGAAATACATACTAACTTATACCTTGTTCGGACCGACATTGAAAATATGTTTCCGGTGCTAAAACTTGTTTTTGACCTAAAACTTGCGTTTTCGTCGCATTCGCCAATTGAACACCGCGTATGAGGTGGCACCGAGAAAAAATTTCAATACTTGCATACTTCACAAATTTAATGGTGAATAATTATAGTAAAAGCTGATATTAAGTAAGTTCAGTTAGAAAATAATTCAAATGCTTTGAAGAAAATAAGTTCATTTTCCATTTTTTGAAATTTTCAGACTATCTTATACGCGGCATTGCATTTGGCGGTTGCGAGATATTGCGCGCCAAGCGACGATATTTAAATCAACGGCATACAATGCAGAAGAAAATGCATCAGAAGCATGAAATCGACGGTATTTAACTCATTGTACACATGCGTTAATATTTAGTTCATTCAAAATCATTACTTACAAACGTATACATCACGTGCGTAGTTGTCTCGATGGTGAAGCGAAATCCACACAAAGGACGCACCATTGTACCCGGCACCAGGTTGAGTACATCTTTAAATGAGACCAATTTATTGTCATACTCCTCCTTGGAGGCATAGGAGAGCAGTAATTTATCCTGCAGCACAAACCACATCTTACGCCAACCACCAACTTTCTAATAAAAATAACCACAAACACGATTTCACACAGTTAAAAAAATATCAAAAAAATTAGCTGATTTTTCCGCTTGAGTTTTCCAATCGTATACTTCAATTGGTTGATACTAACATTTCGCTTCTTCTTCAAATAACCACAAAGTTTCACTTTGTTGCTGCTGCGATTACGCTCCT